TCAAGCATGTGTTGATGTTACAGATTTTACTTAGTCAATCTTTCCTTCATGTGCATGTGTTCCATTAGTTCACTTCTTCCGTTTGTCAAGTTCAAGCATGTGTTGATGTTCTGGTGCTTACTTAGTCAATCTTTCATTTGCATGTGTAACACTAGTTCACTTCTTCCTTTTGTCAAGTTCGAGCATGTGTTGATGTTCCGGTTCTTACTTAGTCAATCTTTCCTTCGTGTGCATGTGTTCCATTAGTTCACTGCTTCCGTTGGCCAAGTTCAATCATGTGATGATGTTCCGGTTCTTACTTAGTCAATCTTTCCTTCATGTGCATGTATTCCACTAGTTCACTTCTTCCTTTTGTCAAGTTCAAGCATGTGTTGATGTTTTGGTTCTTACTTGGCCAACCTCTCCTTCATATGCATGTGTTCCACTAGTTCACTTCTTCCTTTTGTCAAGTTCAAGCATGCGATGATGTTGTGGTTCTTACTTAGTCAATCTTTCTTTCATGTGCATGTATTCCACTAGTTCACTTCTTCCTTTTGTGAAGTTCAAGCATGTGTTGATGTTCCGATTCTTACTTGGCCAACCTCTCCTTCATATGCATGTGTTCCACTAGTTCACTTCTTCCTTTTGTCAAGTTCAAGCATGTGTTGATGTTCCGGTTCTTACTTAGTCAATCTTTCCTTCATGTGCATGTGTTCCACTAGTTCACTTCTTCCTTTTGTCAAGTTCAAGCATGTGTTGATGTTCCGGTTCTTACTCAGTCAATCTTTCCTTCATGTGCATGTGTTCCTCAAGTTCACTTCTTCCTTTTGTCGAGTTCAAACATGAATTGATGTTCCGGTTCTTACTTAGTTAACCTTTCCTTCATATGCATGTGTTCCATTAGTTCACTTCTTCCATTTATCAAGTTCAATCATGTATTGATATTCCGGTTCTTTCTTAGTCAATCTTCCATGTGCATGTGTAACACTAGTTCACTTCTTCCTTTTGTCAAGTTCAAACATGTGTTGATGTTCCGGTTCTTACTTAGTCAATCTTTCATATGCATGTGTTCCACTGGTTCACTTCTACACTTTTGTCAAAGTTCAAGCATGAGTGGATGTTCCGGTTCTTTGTTTAGTTGCTCTTTCTCTAAGGGATGGGTGACCGACATCGGGCTGCTATTACGGGGTGATGACTTGATTAGGACTAGAAGACTCTTGCCTCCTCTCTCTCCCTCTCTCTCTATCTTTCCTTCCTTCACTCGCTCTCCCCCTATCCCTTTCCCTTCTCTGTCTCTCCCCCTCTTTCTCCCTCTCTCCTTTTTCCCCCTTGCCTTTTTTTTCTCTCTCTCTCTTCCCCTCTCTCTCTCTCTCGCATCATCATCTGGCCCTCTCTCTCCGTTCCCCTCACTTAGCATATGACTAACCCTTCTCCCCCCTCACTTGGAAAACATTGCCAGGGCACGAGCGGAGAACGAAATCAGACCTCACTTGGTGGAGAAAGAGGACAAGGGGAGGGTAGCCGGTCCCTTGTGCCACCAAGAAGGCAAGAGAGAGGACGTCCAAAAAAAGGAAGTGGGAGAGGCGGAATCTGGAAGAAAGCATAAGTGAAAGTGAGGTCAGTTTGACTCAACCATTTCCCCGACTGCATGACTATGAGAAGAGGATGGGCTGATTGAACAACAAAAAGGGAACAAAGCACAACCAAAGAGCATGGAAAGAATTGGCATGTGGGAAGGGCTATGTGTTGGCCCCCAACGAGGGACATTGTATGGATCTTCTTGCTTGTGTGGGATTGTGCAGGTGAGTAATGGCTAGAAATGCCTTGAGCGGGATAAGGGCGAGAGGGACTGGGCACCAAGAGGGAAAGGGAAGAGGGACAAAGGGGCTATGGGACCCTTAGCATAGAGCCAATTCATGAAAATGATTTTTGCACTTGAGACTTGGAAGTGCGATTGGGAGTGCAATCGTACCAAGAAAAATGTGATGTTGTATGTGCATGCATATGAGGACCCCGAAAGGACTAAGGGGCCTACTTCAATAAGGTGGGAAGCAAATTGTGAGATCCGATGGATGCGGAGAGGCGAGGGGAAGGACAGCCCCGCCGCACCCCGATGACGCCATATAGCCAAAATGCTTGGGACGCTTCGACGAGAGCGCTGCGATAGTTCCTCCATCACTCGAGGATGCTGCTGCAGCGTGGAGATCGACTGATTCGTCAGAAATCACGGCATTGTTATGTGCCGGTTGTTGGTAGCCCTGCTTAGCCACATAGTGCGGCTGGGACTGCTTTTCGCTGGCGGCCTTGTCATCCGTTTGGATTACCAGGTTCGCACGATCCAGAATAGCCTGGAAGGAAGCATAATCGTACTCGTTGACGATCGCGAGAAGAACTCGGATCGTTGGTTTGTAAAACTCAAATCGAAGCTTGGCGTGGTCACTATCTTCTGCCACTTAATCGTCCAGTCTCGAGTTGGCATACTTCCCTGTGAGCACGTGTAGACCTCGTTCATGGCCGCCTTCACAACGTTGCGGACCATGAATCGAGTGAACCACAACTGTTCAAACTCCTCCCACGTGAGGTGTTTGTGTAGCTCGGCGATAGTGGTTTTCTTGTTAATTGCGAGGTGGTTCATCCATGCCTGCGCACCTCCAATGAGTTGGAGGTATATTGCCTTCATCATGTCTTCGGCTGGGACCTTGTGGCAGGACGCTTCGGTGAGGAAGGCTTGCCACCATGTCAAAGCGTCGGTCTTGTTGTAGTCTTTGAACTTGCCGATGTTGAAACGTGGCATCTTGTATACCTTCGCAGCTGCTGCCGGTTGCGACTGCAGCTTGGTGATGTCCGTCTTGATGGCGGCCACCGTGCTGCTGATCGTAGCCGGGCTGGTGAAGTCACTGAGTTCGCCAATTAAACTGACGACATGGTCGATACGCTCACCGAGTTGTTTCGCCGTGTCTGTCGTGCAGCCTGGCGCTGCTGAGGCCTTAGCCTCGATGTTGTTGACGCGTGCGGTGGTGGTGCTCAACAACTGTTGCTCTTGTTGCTGATGTGTGGCGGCAGCGCGAACAACGGCTGTTAAGGCTGCAACATCTTTCTGCTGAGTCTGTCACAGTTGTCTGGCCTCGTGCATCTGCACAGTTAACATCGTATTAGTCCACATTACCGCCCGCATCATGTTCAGCATCAGGTCAGCCAGGTTACTCCTTTCTTCCTCCGCCGGTGTCGGATCCGCCTGTGTATCCGAAGGCACAAAAAGCATGCCTTGGAGCAGTGTCGTCCAGTGACTCTCGTTCTGAGTCAAGGACTCCATGCTGATGGCGTTCCGCTTATCTCGAACCACGACGTCAGCCTCAGCAGTCCGCTGAGCTTGGGCTGCCGCCTCACTGGCCAGTCACTGACGTTCCGCCTCTGCTGCCTTCTGCTGTGCCTTTGCGGTAGCTACGGCATCTGTAAATGCTTGTACCCGCTGAAGGTAAGCTACCAACGGCTCACTGGCCCCTTGGACCTGACATGCGGGAAGAGCCCCAGTGGTGACTGGTACTGCCGTAGCCGTACTTGATGCCGCTGGGGTCTTCCGTCTACTGAGTCGTTGTTGCTGGTACTTAGACCGTGGAGGTACCAGAGAATGGCTACGAACTGCGAGCCTGGCACTGCGTCGAGGCAGTGCCCCGGTGTCTTGTTCCGTCGACATCAGCTTGAGCTGATGTGGTACTTGAGAAGTCCCGGTTGTCACAGAATACGGGGAGGGTAGGGAGAGTGGGAACAGGGGTAGGACAATCAAGCAATTTACATACAGTCTCTGTCCCAATATGGACAAGACACCTAATCAAAAAAAATAACTTGGTCAAAAAACAACTCAAAAATTCGTAATAAGAAAATAATAACGAATTAATAATCACTAAAGTTTAATTAATGATTAATAATGAATTAATATTTCTTAATAATAATCAATAAAACAATAATTGCAATAATGATAATTACCGATTTTAAGTTGTAAAGACTAGTTATCCGTTCAGATCGTCTATAGTCCGGGAATTTCGACCTGCAAAATCCGATTTTTAAAGGCCTAAGTCCGTTTTCGGACTTTTTCACACTAGGCAAAGGAAAAAAAAAAAAAAATCGCGAAAATTTCGGAGCTCAACCCTAATTTTCCGCGTTTCCGCGGAATTTCCGGTTTTACGGTTCCAAAACGTTCAAATTTCCCAAATGGCTCAAAAATCGAAATTTTCTGTAACCCTAATTTCCCATACCGAAATAAAACGGAAATGCCGATTTAGAAAACGAAATACAGGATTAAAATCAGAATGCCGAATTAAAAACGGAATACCGACTTGAAATCAGAAATCCGAATTAAACAGAGTACTGATTTAAACCTAATCACGAATTAAAATTAGAAATCCGAAGTAAAAACGGAATGTCGGATTACCCAGAATGCACTTAATCAGAATCCGAAGTAAACAGAATACCGGATTAAAACGGAAATCCGAAGTGAAAGTCTGAATACCGGATTGAAACGGAATGCCGATTTAAACAGAATACCGAAAAAGAAAAAACAAAATTGCAACTTTGAATCTCGATAGTAATACAGAGCTGATTTGGAAGATCGAAGAAGGAATCTATTCCTAAATCAGACTTACCTGGCGAGTAGATCCATCGTTTGGTCTGCTCCGATACCAAAACTGTTGCATACTCGTGAATACTTCAACGAGTATGGGGCAAAACCAAAGATCAACCAATATAGGATGCGCATGTATGCAGCGAAAGTCTGATAAATGGACTGACTCACATAGACTGACTCACACAGATATCACTCCACACACAAACAACCGTGAGATGGTGGGGTCTGAGCCAATCATGGAAGATGCTCAGGCCCCGTACACGCATACACGGACGAAAGGTGGGAGGAGAGATGGAGGAGGTGGGAGATGTAGGTAGCGCCAGATGTCACCGAGATAGAATCCAGTAGGTCACCGATATGGTAATCCAAAATGTCATCGAACAAGATCAAATGTCGTGGACAATAAGTCCCCAAGATCGGAGGTACAGAGTCCCAATGTAACCGGTGTCCAATCTGTGATGCTGCCGAGTATCAACCCCAACAATCTCCAAGTCTCGAATCCGGTAAGTACCACAGCCTCTTACCACCGAAGTCCAACACTGATCTCTGTCTAACTAGTATCCAGTATCCAGTCTGAAGAAGAAGAAGATGAAGTCTGAAGAAGAAGAAGAAGAAGAAGAAGAAGAAGAAGAAGAAGAAGGAGAAGAAGAGATGGCAGAGGAGGAGGAGGGGAGGAGGGGAGGAGGGAGAGCCGGTAGCTGTGGAGGGAGGAGAAGATCTCCTCGCCTCCTGGTACCTGACTTGCTGTAGTCCGACTGCAGGTCGCGGCTATGGCCGCCGTACTGCCGAGGACTGCTGCCTAGCTCCTTGCTCGTTGCTGCTGCTGCGCTAGCTCGCGCTGCTGCTGCTGCTCCTGCGCTAAGAATAGCGCTGCTGCCTCAACCGATACGCATTGGCGCTGATGCAGCATGCCAGTGCTCGATGCCTCACAATGAGACTGGTACCGGTATAAGTACCGGTGGCCAAGAGGCCGGCCTCAATGCTGCGAGGCCTGGCCGTGACCTGAACCGTTGAGATCGACGATTCAGACCAGATCGGCGGGCGGCAGCCTCAAAATCACTGCCAGGCCCAAAACGAGAATGTCGTTAAGGCCTGCCCGTCGGTCTGGTCCAAAAACGTGGCCTTTACGGCCTGCTGTACCCCAAGTCCGGGCCTTTAGGCCCTACTGTATCCCTCTGGCCCTAAGTCGGGTCCGGTAGGACCCGTGTGGCGTCGAAGATGTAACACTACCTCTCTCTCCCAGTCCACCCTCTGGCCATAGGCCTTCTGTGCCACCTTCATCAATCTTTCCCTAACCTTCTGATCTGAGGCCTTGGCTGCCGCAAAGCCCTCCTTCATAAGACCCTTCAGGCTAAGCAAGTCTGTGGAGACCAACTTAACCCCCATCTCCTGGTGATGCTCTCTGGGTCCCCTTGCAGCCTCCAAGAACTTGTCAAGCTCTCCCAAGCCTCCGAAAGCAGGGGAGGATCCTCCTCTTGAATGCAGACTCCCTTCCCCTTTCTGTTCCTCAATTCCACAGGATGCTCTCCTTGCTCGATCTTCTCGTGCATTTCTGCAAGGTTTTTCAACCTAAGTTGAATTTTGATCTCCTTCTCCCTTGCAGCTTTCTCCTTTCTTTCCTGTTCCTTCTCCTTCGCAGCCTGATCCTCACTCTGCTCTTGTGCTTGTGGCTCATGAGGCAACTCTGGCTCCACGCCTGACATAGGGAAGTCCTGAGCAGGCTGAGGGGGTGCATCCGGTCCACCTGGTGCCCCTCCCTTCTGACTCCTCTCTACAGTCTGCCTCTTTGTCTGTTGTGCCCTGTCAGCATGATGCTCCTCTCTCCTTTGAACCCTCTCAGCATGTTGTTCCTCTCCTCTCTCTTGCCTGTGGGATTTGTGCTCTCTCCTTTGTCCATCCCTCTGAGTGCCTGAGGTCATGCCCTGCTCAAAAGTCCTCCTCTCTGTGACCTCTGGCTCCTTCCTCTTCTTCTTCATACTCCTCTCCTCAGCCAGACGTGCCGGAGTATAGTAGTTTCAAAGTAATTTCTTGCAATGGCCCCAGCTTGTGGCAGGCTCCACAATAGATCTGAAGGACCTGAGGTGCCACCTCACAAACAGGAGAAAACCTCCCACTCTCTGGCTTGGTGATTCATTGAGGCCATCCGCAAACTCGTCGAATGCCCTCAAGAAATCCCCAAGGTTGGTGCCATCGAAGCGTATGGGCTGTCCATCCCTCCCCGATGGTGATGGGTGCAGGCCCTCCATCCTCCTCTCGAAGTCCTGCTAGGTCAATGATTCCCTGACATAGTTGGCAATGAGCTCTGCCCACTCGCCCGCGCCTCGCACCTCTCTCAGCATCCTGAGCGCATCCCATCCAAACTCTCTGGCGTGCTTCTCAAACTCGATCAGGAATAGCTCAGTGTTCCCTCCCTGGAAAATGGGTGGCTTGTCCTCTCTCCTGGCCCTCATCTGCGCCGTCTGTCTGGTTGGCCCCAGAGGGGGTTCCACTGACCCTGCCCTTCCCCTCCCTCTTGGCATGGCTGCCCCAAATGGTGTCAAGCCTGCACAACAAGGAAGAGAAAAACAAGAGCACACAGAGGGTAAGCAGGTTAGGCTAACACAACAGGAGACGGGCATAACCCTCCCATTCTATAATACCTCTCTATAATATTTATTTGTATATATGTATAAATTTACCTAAATATGGTACCCTATCATACCATTCTACCGACATTAACATCCTACACAACCTACTTATACTAATTACCCCCATCCAATATACTCAAAGGAAGTGATACTATCTTGTGAGCTCCGTGCTCACCTCATCCCGGGCGACAAACTTTTTTAACCTCGAGCCTGACACCCAATCCTTCCATGCCGTCCCATTCATTTCCTCGATTTGGTACGCTCCATGCTCGCCACACCTTGCGATCCTGTACGGCCCCAACCATCGCTTGTCCAATTTCCTCGACCACTGCTTCTCCAGGGACGAGTCGTACAGCAGCACGGCGTCTCCCACCTTAAGAGGTTCCTTCCTTACTCGTGCCAACTGGTCCCACCTGAACTTGTCCTTGGTTCGACTGTCAGCCACCCTACTTGCTGCTTCTTGTACCTTATCCTCTATGGCTCCAATTTGGTGTGCCCTTAGATCAAGCAAGTCCTCAAAAGACAAGGTTGTCTCGAGGTYTTGTCGCCTCCAAGTCTTTAGGAAACTTTTTATAGGGAACGTCGCATGTCTGCCATACCATAATGTAGCTGGCGCGTAGTTGGTACTCCTTCTGTCAGTGATATTCTCCACGAAGAAGGCAACCCTCAGAAAAGTTGGTCACTGATTAGGCCTACCATCTGTCCATTTTGCGAGGAGATTTGTAATGGTACTGTGTCCTCTTTCCACTAGCGCGTTAGCCTGAGGGTGCGCCGCAGTCGTATACTCGGCAATTACACCATACCCTTTCAGCAAGGCCTTCACTTCCGCACAAGTAAATTCGGACCCCCTGTCCATTACGAATCTTGAGACGAAAGGATAACAAAGGTAATACTCTTTGATGCACCGAGCTAATACCTCTTCAGTCTTCCTGCAAATAGCCTTACCATCCACAAACCCTGAGAGATTGTCTCATGCATCAAAGATGTAGTTGAGTCCTCATATTCCCAACGGCATTGCCAATAGGTCCAGATGAATAACTGCTCCGACCTCACGTATATATCTAGGGTGGTGGTTCCCTAGGTCTTAGCGAAGACCACTCCTGGCATGGTATACAAGATTTACAATATTTGTCGATCATGTGTCCCATGCCATCCCAATAATATAGTTCGTGAATCTTTGAGTATGTTGCATCTGTGCTCCTGTGACCACCAGCCGTTCCATCATGAAGGGCGGCCATAACGTCAATCTGTCGATTTACTTCACAGACTACCCTTTTGGGATTCTTTCCTTTACTTCTCATGAATAGATGACCGTCTCTCACTACGAAATTCGGCCGCATCTTAAGGACCCTTTCGCTAGCATCTCTTTCTCTTGTTTCACACGAAAGGAGCATTCCCAATTCCAGATATACTCCGTCGTACTCTTCTGCATGAAAGGCCTCTTTTATCTCACCTTCTTCAAAGTCATCGTCCTCTCTTTCATGGATCACATTCTCCTCTCTATCTTGCCTCTCTCCTTCAATCCTAGCAACCTCTTCTTGAAGCAACGAGTTTGCCAATAGGTACATCCCACTTACCAATCGCTCATGCTTCTCTACCTGGTGGGGTCCGGTCTCCAATGTGACCAGATCTTCCCGCAGCTAGTACTTATCTGCCAAGGCCAAATCCATCATCCACTCCATTCCTGGCATTCCCCAAGAATCTTCCTCAACATAAGGCTTTAGGACTATTTCTGGTCGCCGTATATGTCCCGGAGGTGCGAGCCATATAGGTCGTCCAGGAGTAACATAGTTACCTATAGCCAATGACTAAGAGTTAATGTGAAGTTTAACATCCTCTTCCTTGTCCAGGAAACCATCGACCGGCGGAGTGTCTTCAATCATCCCCTTGTTACCCTTGTCCCAGTCGACGCGACTTAACCCATCTGCCCTATTCTTGTTTCCCGGAATACGCTCCAATTCAAAGTCAAACATCCAGATGTACGTCAACCACCTGGCAATAGTTGGATTTGAAGGAGCGAAGTTCTTAAGGGAACCAGCTAGAGCAGTTGGGTCCACCCTCAATATAAACCTGCTACCAAAGAGGTAGTTTCTGAAAATCCTCGAGCAGTGAAGAACTGTCAGGGTCTCGCGCTTAAACTGAGAGTAATTTCTCTCAGTTGTGTTAAGCGTTCGACTCTCAAACCTTAGCGGTCGTTCTTCTCCATTGAGGTCTCGTTGGATCAATACTTCTCCCAAGGCAGTCGGCCCTGTGTCTGTTTCCACGATAAAAGGTCTGGTCATCACAACCGCATGATCTGGCACTCCCAGCACTAGACCCCCTTCCTCAAACTCTTTCTTCAGACCCTCTATCACTGACTCCTGCCTGTCTCCCCGTTCCCAATCCTGACCTTGGCGCACAAGCTTTCGCAATTGCTTTGTCTTTGCCGCAAACCCTTTGATGAACACTCTCCAGAATCCACATGTTCCCAGGAAGCTCCTTACCTCTGTAATTGTCTCGAATGGTGTTGGCCACTCGAGAATCTTGTTCGTCTTCTTAGTGTCCGGCCGACGACCCCGCTCGTCGCACACAAACCCTAAGATTGTTGCTCCACGCATACAATGCCTGGACTTCGTTCCGCTTGCAGTGAGGTTATGCTCTTTTAACAAGTCTAGGACTTTGCATAGATCTTGCACATGATCCCAGACAAATCGTATAATCCCAGGCATCACCTCCTGCTCATTCTTTTCCTTTGGTCCTTTCACAACCAGATCATCGACGTAAGGTTGTGTAATGTGAGGACTCACTGGTTGCATTGCCCTCACCATGTGTCTCTGGACCATGGCAACCACATTCGTCCATCCTTGCGGTGCGACATTCATGTGAATCAGCCCTCGAGGGGTATGCATTGCAGTCATTGGCATATCCGAAGGGTAAACAGGAAACTGGTCATAACCAGAATACAAGTCTATGAGAAATATTATGGATCTCCCTGCGCATGCCTCTAAAAACGCATTAGCGTTAGGTAGACCCCCTGCATCTCTCACTGTTACAGCATTCAAGCGCTGCAAATCCTGTACCCATCTCAGTGTCCCATTTGGTTTGACAAAGCAAAACCAAGGGGATGCATATGGTCCACTCGAGTAGTCTGAGACATGAGTGCGGATCTTCCCGTCAAGATAATTTACCACCTTTTCTTCATCAGTCGGGTTCGGATATCGCGCACCTCGCAGATTCCATGGTTCATGTGGCACGGTATGTATCTGAATCATCGGGATCTTGTCAACATCCAGGCGGCCACGTTCATCATCATTGAAGGCATAGGCAGTATGCCTTCCTCTCATGGTCTCCACCATCAACTGTCTCTCTTGCACTATAAGGAAATCTGGTTCCCCTATTATAAGCGTCTCTTCCGTTTCTTGATTGATACGGCATGGTCCATTCTCCGCATTTTCCCGCATCTGGCGTATTAACTCTCGTTCCCGCTCGTAATAAACTTCTTGTTCCTTAGTCATGAGCACAGGAACAGGGCGGCATTTTTTATCTACTCTTTTGAACCGCCTTTGTGACCCTTGCTTGAGCCTACCCCTAAAAAAGGCCGAGTTGCACTCTGGGGTTGGGATCCTGCCGATCCTCCTATCTTTCGAGGCGTCCGAAATACCAACACCACCTCTCCTTCTCCCATTTGCTCCATCACCTTCTCTCTCAAGGCCTCTACGGCCTCCAGGTCCGCCATCCCATTGGTTGACACTATGTCCATAGCATCGCCTATACTGGCCAGGCTAAGAGTCGGTGCCTCCGGATTCATTTCTTCTTCAAACTCACCACCCCCTAGCCTCTTCCTTTCTTCTTCCGATTCCTCAATCGTGAAAGAGCCAGGATTGGGCCTATTCCTTATACTTCGCGACCCCGTATTCCTGCATGTGATAACCTCGTAATTGCCACACACTGGGTCACATAAGATGAGGAACATCGTCCCATCATGCTTATTCAGTATGAGGGTCTCCGTTCGGCTAAAAAAGGATCGGCCCAATAGGATGGGATGATCGAGATCGGGCATCACAAAGAAACAACTTCTCACTTTAACCTTGCCAATCTCCAAAACCACTCTCGATGCAGTCCCTATGAACACAGACCGACTATTCGCTCCCATTAGAACTCCATTATCGGAGCGATCAATCTCCATCCCCAAGCGCAAAGCATGCTCCTCTTTTATGAGATTCATTTCCGCCCCAGTATCCACCATTGTCGTGCACGTTTTTCCTTTTACTACTACGTCTAAGCATCCACATGCGACGGACTTCCAATCCATCTTTCTGCCTGTCTCCGCCCATTCCGCTTCCTTGGGGATTATGGCCCCCAATCGCACGCTGGCTACCATCTTTCTGGACAATCGAGCTTTGAAGCCAGCACATCCTTCAGGTTCATAAGGTGATTATGACCCTCAAGGATCCTATCCATCATCTCTTCTACATCATAGCCTTCTTCCACCCGGACATCATACTTCCTTTTCTTCCCTTCTGGAACTTTGTCCGTGTCTATCTTAACATCCTCCTTTTCCGCTCTCAGCTCGGCCTTCTTATCCTCTTCTCTCCTTAACCTCTCATCCCTTTCATCCTCGTCCTCTGGGACGTTGTCGGGACTGGTGAGTCCCGAATGATTTCCCGTTACTCAAGAGACTGCATATGACCAATTTGTGCACGGCAGAGAAAACCGGAGGCAAGAATGTTGGAAAGATCGGAAGCGTGGGCACAGGCAGTAGGAAGCTAGAGGCTGACCAGGGTCGTCAGAACCGCCAAACTAGAAAAGGACGGTCTAAGCAAGAAGCGGCAAAGGACTGCGAGAGAATAGCAAGGGCGACTCTTTCCCCGAAGGACGGAGAAGGGTCGTCGAGAAGTCGGGAGTAGCATAGGAGGTGCGCAGCAAGGGAAGGAAGGAAGTAGGAAGAGACAGGGCGCAAGGCGTTGATGCGACGCGGCGGCAGGAGGGCCGAGGAGACCGCAGGGTAGGTGGGAGCCGGCACCCGGAACAGAATAGCATGCGGGACGCAATAGGAGTAGGGAGCGGAGCTCGCTGTAAGACGGAAGGACGCCAGGAGCACCAAGGAAAGACGTGGTACAGGTGGGGCAGGAGTGCCAGGGACCACATGGGATCGAGGGACGGAGCAGTACCAGCAGGACAAAGTGTTGGGGACCGAGCGGGATCAGGGGACGGCGTGGTGCCGGCAAGGCAAGTACCGAGACCGTGTGAGACCAAGGGAAAGACATAATGCAGGCGGACCGAAGTGTCAGGGACCACGTGGGTCTAGATAAAATGGCGGCACCAGCGGAACCACTAGCAGATTGGGTGTCGACGGAATAAAAAAAAAGCGTCAGGAGCTGCGGACAGTGGCCGAAGGTCGGAGCCATCAGCGGAATAATCGGCGACCAGCCCAAGGAGGAGGGCGCGCGAGAGCGGGTCGTCAACTGGTATGACGTCGAAAAAAGGGGAGGGGCTAGGAACGATAAGAAAAAGAGGAGAAGTCGAGCGCTGACGGAAGTTGTTAACGGAACGGAGGAGACGGGCGTGAGACGGGAAAAACGGAGGGTACCCGGGGTGACCCAAGGGGACCCTGGATCAAGTGCGACGGCGATAAAAATAAAATAACATAATATCGGGTGGACGGGACCGCCCAGGCCAGGGATCCGGATGAAAATGATGAATGTCGCCGCGGCAAGCGCCGGCGGGAGGTGCCGAGGGGAAAAGAGGGGGGGGGATAGAGGTAGAGGAGGCCGACCAGCAGTCCGGGTTATTCCGGACCAGCCGGGCCAAGAAAAACGAAGTTCCGAGGACTCCACGTGGAGAGAAGGCTGGCTGGAGAAAATCGAAGCAAGGGGGGTTTCAAACTGGAAGCAGTGGCAGCAAAAAGGAGCCCCCTTTGGCCTTGGGGGTGCCACTACTGCAG